TGCTCCCCTGACCGCCATCGCCGTTCCAGACGAGGGGTGAGGGTTAGCTGAGTTACTCTGGTGCAGTGACACTGCGTTAACGCAGGCACAATACGCTGCCGAAAAACGCGTCCGGTAGCCCTCTTCTTTTGGTTCTCTTTTCCCTTTAGTTGACAGCCACCTGATATTTCCGTTCACCTTGTTCCATCTCTCGGGTAAAGAGAGATTACCTCGTGGCATCTGTTTCCAATGTGGGGACTTAAATCCTCCCCTCCCCTCTCCCCTTTCTCCTCTCTCCTTTCCCCTCTCCCCTCTCCCCTCCTCCTCCTCCTCCTCCTCCCCCCCCTCCTCCTCCTCCTCCTCCCGCTCCCTTTCTCTACACTTCTTAACAACCTCACATTGTGCACAGGTTTTGCCCATCCATTGGTCCCGTGCCCATCCATTGGCCCGTGCCCATCAATTGGCCCTGTACAGGGTATCAAAAGGTCCAACTGCACCCCCCTGTTATGGCCCATGCATGGCCCATGCGCACGCCGCCACCCTCCACATAGTCACCCTTCACCCCCACAACGGCGTCACCTCTCTCTCCCCGCGAACCTCCTCCTCTCTTCTCCCACATTTGCCTGACATCTCCCTTCTGTCCAATCCGCTCTTCCTGATCCCATTTTCACACCCTGCTCTTGAGCTTCACTGTGCTCGTCTCTTCTCCTTCCCTGCCCCCCCCCCCCCCCCCCCTCTAAAGAAAACGAATCACTTCAACTCCCTACTCTCCCTACCTGAAAAGAAGCCATCGTGATCTGCATCTCCCCACGCTGGCCCTCACTCTTTTTTCTGTTCATTTTCCGATTCTTCTGTACGTTTCCTCGCTTTTAGGTTGGTCCGTCGAGATCCTGCGCAAGGTCTTTTCCTCCTTTTTCTCCAATAGTCCTCATCCCGACCTCCTGCCTGTCATTCACCCTCAAACGAGCTCAGCAGATGGGCAATCTCTCCGTGTTTGCAGGTCAGTGCTGTCTACCCTCATCGTCGGCAGATCCAGCACTTACTTCCAGAGAAGGTATGGCCGAGTGTGATCAGTATCCTCAACGTCTGCTCTTCTCCCTCCTTGGAGTGGCCCCGTCTTGCACTCACCATCCCCTCCCCGAATCGAACATGCTCCCCTTACCTCTGCGTCTTCGTCCTTGGATTGCCCCCGTGTTATGCCCACCCTCTGCCACCCTCTGCCCCTGTGAATAAAACACGTGCTCGTTATTACTGGGGAATATCTTCCCCCCCCCCCCCCGCAAGCAGAGCGCGTGCCGCCAACCACAAAATGTGATGGTCTGATACAGTCGTTCTTCATGAAGCTTCCGCTTGAAGACTTGGACCGTACACATAGCACCAACATAGCACCAGTGGGGCCTGCCCCCAACGATCAGGAACAGGTTTCCAGCAAATAGCCGCCCAGTGGTAAGAGGGAACTTGACCTCAGTGGACTGTATTTGCAGAGAGGATCAAGCTCCAGTGTACTGTATTTCCTTCAAGGGTCAGGTCTCGGCGGGGTATGTCCCTTTATTGCAGTATTTGCACTAAGGGTCAGGGTCAGACGACTCGAGGCTCAATGGTCTATGCTTCTGTACCAAGCATCGGCCCGTGGTAGGCTATGCCCAGGTCTTGTAGGCAAATTCGGGAGTGGAAATCGAACTATTTCTAAACTACTTGACTCTAGTTATCAGGCGTCAAATTCGAGATCCCAGATATAGACGTAGCTCATTGGCCTTGCCACTAAGTGGCAGCAGCGCTTGTTTGTGATTAATGGGCTATCACTGCTTTTCTGAGGGGGTGGGAGGGGAAGTAGATGCACCCCTGGGGTATCATTCCATGAGGGCTTGATGTGTGCATGTCCCTATGAAGCAAGAGGTGGGGACCATGTGGTGTGCTTCTTCCGACTCTCGAACCAATGGTTAAGATTCGGTAATGAGTGCGACTCCGCTGCTGTTATGAGCTAAACACCATCACTTCCTCTTGTTTTAGCGGACATTGCCGCAGTTAGGTTGCAAATAATTTGTCATTGCCCTTGTGCTTATTGCTTGCTTACTGTGTATTGTTTTTTTTTTTTGGTTCTATTTTGTTTACCGTTTGAAATTTTAAACAAATCGATGCAAACATCCACTTGCGGCAAAACTTTCATGTGGGCTGTAAGGTTCAGTTTTCATGACTTTGCGGTGTGATTGCTGCACTGATAACCATGACAGCACATTGGAGCTTTCTTCTTTCTTTTTGTGTTGCCCAGCAAACTATTGTTTATTTATTGAATCGCATGCATGCATGCATGTATGTACGTATGTATATATTTATGGACATACGAACGAATGACACTTGTGTATGTATGCATATTCGTATGTATGAAGTACGTATGCATGTACGTGTGCATGTATGTAAGCAAGTGTGCATGTATGTAAGTGTACGTATGCATGTACGTATGCAATTTGTGTGCATGTATGTATGTGTACGTATATGTATGTACGTATGCATGTATGGACCAGTATGGTTGGGCAGGAGTTGTTTGTCACAAGGATTCCCAGGGTCCGTGTGGCTGCTCTTGTACTGGTTAATATATCGCAAACGAAGACCCGTGTGGCCATGCATTGGGCACGCTTTGTACTGGTTAATATATCGCAAACGAAGACCCGTGTGGCCATGCATTGGGCACGCTTCCTTCTATGTGATCAGGATATTCCTATGCCGATACTTATTGGTGAATTCAGAGTGCGTGAAACTTTGTTCATTTCATGCAAGAAAAAAGCAAATAGATGTATATAGAATCTATAGATTGAATCTATTTTCATCTATATTTAATATATTGTCACACTGTAAATCAGAGCGCGAAGGCGAAAAAAAGCAAAAGAAGGAAAGGAAAAGAAGGAAGGAAGGAAAGCCCCACCTGTTCATCACCTCTTACGTACAAGGCCAGCCACGTGGATGACAGGTTGAGCTCTGGCTGCCCCCATCCCCGTGTGTCACAAGGACCCACTTGCACGCAGCCAAAAGGCAAAGAGGTAAAGAAAAGGAGGAGGAAACCTCCCACAGATAATCCAATTGTCACAAAGCAAATAACACGTCCCACAGATCAACATATTTTTTCTTTTTCCTTACTTTCTTATTTTCTTATTTTCTCTTTTTTTCTTTTTCTATCTTCTTTTCTTTTTTTCTTTTTTTTTTCTTTTTTTCCTTAACTGTTCCCATCTCGGCAGATAGGACAGCTATGGTGAGGATGATGTGGATGTTCACAAGGATACCCAAGGAGAGTTGCGCCAGCACAGCATTCAGCAGGACGGCTAGCACGAACCATCCCATCAAAACAGTCCTGACAGAGGACATGTTGTCCACATGTCAAACGAACAGCAGGATGTTCATCACAGTGAGGCATCATGTAGTTCTGATAGCGTCCTTGGGCACAAAAGGGACAACGTATATCTGGGTGATAGGGATGTGTACAGTGAGGAAATGTTGGACACCCTTCAGTACAGACGGCGGCAGTCACAATAGATTGATAATGGCTATGGCATAGATGATGCATTCCACAGCCAAGGCGCACTGCGTCTCTGTCCCGACAGGTGTCACACGAGAGTCGGTCAATAATCCAAAATAAAGTATGATTCGACAATGCACGCAAAAATTCATTTACATCGAAAATAGCCCGACTCATTGTCCCACCGTCCCACAGTTCCCACTGGGCAGCTGCACGAATGAGTGCCATATAATGCCCGGGTCTGTGTAAAATACAGGCAGAAATATGAGGATGGTTATTGAGGTCATCGCCTGGCGTCGCATGATGCATAAGAAGGTGGCGGCCGTGAAACGCTAACTGTAAGACATTTACAGTAAAGCCTCCCGAGGTGGTATAGTTACTGCCTTCAGGAGCTGGACTATTATGATCATAGAGCATCTGATTTTCAACAGCGTCAAGCTGATAAGCAATCGTAACAAATTGGGATGCAGTATAACATTGACGCTGATAAGCCTGTAGGCAGACATTTGTGGCTGTCAAACCACAAATATTTGATAGGTCTGCCCGCAGATCCGAATCGGTCACCACTGGAAAGCTAGATCTGATCTGGCGGGGTCGGCGTGTAAATGACGAATGCCGTCGGCGTGGCAGAGCAGGCTGCCGGTAACACAAAGAACCCCGCAGATTACCATCAACACGACGTCGTAATTGAAAGACTTCCATAAGGGAGGGGATGCAGACAATGTTGCCCAACTGATCAACCATAGGGTAATGGTGGTGACGAGGACCAAAGAACACACACTGATTGTAATGTATGATCAGTGAGCTTGCAGTGCACAAAACTCTTTTCGGGGAGCTTTAATAAAATTTTCCAAGTTGGTTTCCTTGCATGTCATTGTAGATTTTCTTCGCAGCAGAAAACACGAAGTTGATTTTACAGCCGGGAAAACAAGAATTTGGAAAGTGGGCTAACTATTCTGACGTTCTGCGTTTTTTTTGTTTGTGAAGAAGCTCATGATTGCGGCGCATCTTCCGACCGGAGTATCGTGCAGATGGGAGGAGGTTGATTTGCCACATGATGCCTGCAGCGCAGCAAGGTCCTGTGTTCCGTGGTTGTCTATGGCGACCGCTGCTGCTCATCCAACCAACCAGAATCGATGTGGAACTAGTAAAGGCTGTCGCTGCGATATTTGCTGCCGGGTCTGAGACAAACCCGGTCCTTGTTTTGACTAATATCATTCATTACCCTTAATGATGCTCAAAAGCACGGGCTGTTAAGCAGGAACGAACAAGCGGACCATCTTCTCAGCCAACAAGCAGAGAGAGAGAGAGAGAGAGAGAGAGGACTGGTCAGTGAATGGGGTGAAAGTGCGGGGAGCAAAACACGTGATTTGATCAGGCGTGCACAGAGATAAAAATAGTTATATGCTTATATTTATGTAAGAGGAGAGAGAGAGAGAGAGAGAGAGAGAGAGAGAGGACTGGTCAGTGAATGGGGTGAAGGTGTGGGGAGCAAAACGCATGATTTGATCAGGCGTGCACAGAGGTAAAAATAGGTATATGCTTATATTTGTGTAAGAGGGGAGAGAGAGAGAGAGAGAGAGGAGTTGCTGATGGCGGGTACTGCAGTTCCCAGGTGGGGGGGGCTAGGGTTTTTGGTGGGTACTGCAGTTCCCAGGTGGGTTTGGCTAGGGTTTTTGTTGAGAATGTTCCTTGCCTCTTATTTGCTTCTGCCAATCCGGATGGTCACTTCGATGAACCCGTCATCAGCTGTTGCCCTCGGGCCACAGATCAGCAGCCTCAACTTGTTGCTCCTGCCATTGACGACACACACAGTGCGTTACAGACTTTATGGTTCCAATGGCTGCTTCATCTGGACCCAGGATCATGAAGATTTAATAAGCTTGGAGCCTGAGGTCAATCAAACGACGCCAGAGTGCTCCACCGCTGTGATCATCACGTCGATTGCACMGTACASTGTGCGCAGGTCTACGACGGTKCAGGCAACAGACACGATCACTGGRCAAGTTCTTCGTTGTGAGRTTTTCATTGACAAAATTTCGGAGATTCGCATTTTCCATCATTCCCGAAAACTTGATCTTCATGGTCTGTCTACTCTCAGTGTGCAAGCATTYGACGCAGAGGGTAATGTGTTCTCCTCGCTTGTAGGGTTGCAGTTCTTGTGGACCTTGGAGCCAGTGAGCTTYGATGGCGGGACATCGCACAGACTGGTGCATGTGCGTCTGAACGAGGCTGCGCTGAGTGATACGTATGGTGATGTGCATGGAGATKGCAATGTGCGAGTCAAGCTGGAGGAGGCGGTGAGYCCCACSTATCAGGTGCCMAAAGGTGYTGCGGCCGATCTSGGATCGGATCTGTACGTAGTCAAAGGAGTTAGTGTAGGACAGGAGAAAGTKAYGGTGCAGCTGAACGAGCCACAGTTTGGAGATTTGGTGGACTCTGTCGTTTTGACTGTTGCAGAGGCAATTTCRCTGTCTCCACACTCRCCAGTGTACATTGCTCCAGGGATKAAGTTGCAGTATACTCTCAAGCTGATGCACAGAAACAACGCTTCGGTTGTCAAGCTTCCAAACAAAAACTACGAGTGGTCAGTGTCRAACACATCGGTTGCGAACATCAACAGTCGCTTGGGGGAAGTGGTGGGCCTCAATCTTGGGMGAACGGAGGTGAAAGTGACGGACCTTCGTGTGGAAGGCCACGTCCAGCTCTCCATGCTGTGCGTAGTGATGCCTGTCCAGYTGAAGCTGTACCTGTCACCKCTGCCTGCTCGCSTGGCGATGACYGGTGTTGTAGATCCTCCYTTGGTGCCRTCRGACGGTATTTGGCACCTTGTSGCTGGAAGAGACTATATCGTGCGGGTKCTTGCATTCTCRAAGGAGTCGGGTACAAGGCCCATTTTAATCACGAAGGATGCCAACTTGCAACTGTTTTTGAAGAACGAAGGTGTCTGGGACACACARCCGATCGCGGAWGACCTTGCAGYATTGCGGGGATGGTGGAATGGCACTCACTTGCRGGCGTTRARGGAAGGAAGTGGGAAGATCAGCGCAACTCTTGGCTGTGGGATCATGCAGAAAGAYAAGGCAACAGGGGAATGGAGGTTCGTTCCGAAACCACACTTAGAAGTTGAGCAGCTCGTGCGAGTGTGTGATTCCGTGAAGATYGTGATTGRCGACATCRGCGACTCTAAAGGGGCACCMGATAGATTGCTGCGTCTTCCTTGGGTCCCAARACAACCYCAACAGTATCTTCTCACYGCAGCTGGAGGTTGCGGGCCAGGGTACAGGTGGACGTCATCCAATCCGGCTATCGTCTCAGTTAGTGTCTCGGGGGTTCTGAAGGCGATGGGAATTGGAAAAGYAGTTGTGAAAGCTGCGGCACTGAACAACCCCCTAAATGTGGATGAGGTGGAAGTGGAAGTTTCTTATCCTGCCACATTGACTYCTGTGCCTGGTCTCCCTGTCGAAACGGAGGTCGGATCAAAYCTGCCTGTTGCTGTCATGGCTCGCGATTCCKCAGGGTCAGTGTACTCTGGCTGTGATGCTCTCTYGGCGATMGTGGACTGGAAAGTCTCATCGTCAGGGACAGTTTTTGTGACTGTAGATCGGACAGATAACACRTCTCKGATTTCTGCCCMGGGGAGTGTTCCCTSYGGTGGCTMTGGGTCCAGTCCGAAGGCACTGAATTATGATGCRGCCTTRGCAGCCATYCCAAGGGGTGSTTGTGCATCKGCTGTTCTWTGGGGATTGAGGCCMGGGCGTGCCAAGGTCSTTGCTGTGCTTGATGTATCAAATGTGGATGGCGAAGGTTGGGCTCAGCCTCCAAAACTTGAGGCATCCTGGATGGTGGCGGCATACATGCCTTTGACTATTATGCAGGTTCAGGATGGCAGGGGACATGGTGGTTATGGCCTTAGTGAGGAGGAGGATCATGAYGTTCAGGGTGACCACGTGGCAGCTCCGCAASCTGGGGGTCATGGGGCCYTTGCAATAACTGGCAAGGAGACCCGGAAAGCAGGAGGAATSCARGAGCTGCTTTTGGTGCTTGGTTGTACCCTTCGCGTSGAGCTCAAAGGTGGCCCKGAACGATGGCGACCAGGATTCGACTTTGTGGAAGATAGCGAGGTTGTACCGACCGAAGAAGCSCACTCYKATGTGCAAGAGGGCTYGGGAAAGGGCTCAGGACCCGAAGCAGAAAGTAGCACAGATGGCTTGTCTGTTGAACACCTGGCGGAAGGCCTGGGAAGAACCTACTTGATYGAGTGTGGGTCGATTGGGACATACAGGGTCACATTTTACAGAGGGAACATTTTTCACAGCGATCAGCCAAGGAGCTCTGTGGCCAATGCRACACTRGTAGTCATGTGTAAGGTCCCCGCATCAATYGCGCTTTTGATTGATGATCGACGGAATCACCCCACKGCCATTGCGGAGAGTTCACAGCTCGAGCGWGGTCYAGATAGACTGCAGACAGTCACACACATGCTTGTCAGTGGAAGGAAGGTGAGAGTTGCRGCAGTKGCCCTCGATGCAGCTAGTAAGCCCTTTGCCAACGCGTCGTCTTTGCAGCTTATATGGCACCTCATGGAATGYGAAGTTGCAGAATGGGCRGACCTCCGTGAKGGAGAAGCAAAACGGAAAAGTGSCATYCCGGGSCCCTGGGAGCGATGGCTTGCCTTGAAGGACAAGGCTGGACAGTGTGTTGTGAGAGCGACCGTYGGCGATCTCAGACCRAGACGAACRAGTTTGGYGACAYACAAAGAAGCTGCKAGGCAAGTGAAGGCCTCTCYATCCCAGCTTACRGATGCCGCCAGGCTCCAGCTRGTGACAGCCCTTCGCCTTGAACCGCAGTTCCTCCTCCTCTTCTGGCATCCRGATTCAAAGGGYACATTCAAGGTCATAGGSGGTACGAGCGACATTCAAGCCTCCACAAATAACTCATGGGTKGGAGAGGTTGTCCATGTACCTATGACAGMTGTKGGGKTGTCCAATACTCTTCAAGTSAYTGCGAAGAACAAGGGKGTTGCAGAGGTKGTRGTGYGTGATGTTGGCCTTGTGCACCCGGGCAYGGCRACGGCTATTGTTATGKTGGCTGATGTTGTCTGGGTTCGGCTGATGGTTCCTGAAGATGCCAGTCTGCAATTGGGATCRAACATGACAATCACCGTTCAGGCTGGGGATGTCAGTGGACACATTTTTGACCCAGYTCAGTTTAAGCTTATGAAACCCGAGGTCCATCTTCAGGACAAAATTCTGACCCTGATTGGGGTTGGAGAGGGTCCCCGTCCTGGCGGTGGCAGGTACCCTGCCAACACGTTCAGAGTCATGGGGGCTAGTGTGGGAGTTACAAGCGGTCTTCGTGTAAGCRTGCAGSTGCACTCTGGTGAGAAAGTGTACAGCGAGTTCGCACGGATGACGGTCTATGCTCCCTTGGTTATCAATCCGCCATGGATGGTGCTTGCACCCGGRGCACAGTTCATGGTCCTTGTTTCTGGAGGTCCTCGAGKWGGGGTTGTCATCCAGTTTGAAAGCTCCAACAAGACGGTGGCAACCGTCCATTCCAGTCAGGGAAACGTCTTGGCACTSCGGGAAGGCAACACGACATTGTACGCGACAGCTACAGGGTATGGGGGCCAACGGATGAGTGAAGCMGCCATTCCCATTATGGTRAGAATACCRACMGCTATGACCCTGARTGTACGCAGTGGCAGGATWGGTGTGGGAAAGGAAATGTCAGTTTTCCCTGTGGGGKCGGTGGAGGGCGAAGGGTTGATCTCCTTTGGCCAGCTCTGTGCCGATTACCGCTGGTCTGTGGAAAACGAGGATGTTGTTGGTCTGCAWTCTGTTGCGGTCCCTGGTCCGGGGGCTGACCTGTACGAGCCTAAGAGGCAAGCATCTGGTGTRTGTCTGGAGGGSGACGATGGTTCTGATGCTTGCCGAGGGAGTGCRCTGGACAGCAGCCYCAGAATAGACATTGGATTTTCGGCACACGTGTCTGGAAGATCGCCGGGCAGATCCACGGTCAGCGTTACKTTTACCTGTCGTTTTCACRGGGTCTCTGGAKCCAGGGAGTATACTGCAYGGARCACGCTTTGGGTGGTTCCCGACCCTCCTGTTTCTCGYRGTCTATCCTGCACCTGGCTCCTCCCTCTGCACTACACTTCGTCTCYGCTGCTGCCGTCCTGGGGTGAGGACAGCCCCTCTTCGTCCTCTGTCGACCTTATGGGCMGGTCTGCCAACAGCAAGCGGACAAGTCTCTATTCTGTAATGCAAAGTGGAGGGACAAGTGAGAAGGTGATCACGATGGATGGTGGGAAAATAAAGACCGGCAGCAGGCCAGATGTTGCATGCATCCTTGAAACAGAGCAGTCAACAGGAAGGGTGGAGGTGGCTGCATGTGTTCGCACCGCAGAGGTGGCACAGATTGCGGTTAAACACAAAGAACCCCCCTACCATGCTGTTGATCTCCCTATCGGGGTGTCACAATCTTTTGCAGTTACTTTACACGATGAAATAGGCACGCCGTTCTACGAAGCCCAACAACGCAGTCTGCACTTGGTGGTGGAGAGCAACCAGCCTCATGTTGCATCTGCAGCACTGGTGGAGGAAGAAGTGCGGGATGCTGTGCCGGCAAATACATCACTAGTGATTCAGGCACTTCACCAAGGCACGGCCATTATCCGTGTCAGGCTTGCCGACAGRCCRGAGRYTAGTGATTATGTTGCAGTTCAAGTGGGAGCATATGTGAGTCCTCGCAATCCAACTTTGCATGTTGGAGGGCGCATCAACTTCACAATTGGTGGAAGGGYGGCAGGGATTGCCTCAGGCGAACGGGGAAAATGGGTGTCAGGCAACGATAAGATTGTRAAAATAAAYCCYCACACAGGCAAAGCAGAGGCAGTTGGGARGGGGACAACAAGAGTGTTTTTCACYGGCCCACGCATAACYGTAGATACCACAGTCTCTGTGGTTCAGGTAGCATCATTAAGCATCAGCAGACCGGAGGGGAGCGGTCCRATTACAAATGTCGGCGATAAAGTYTACTTGTTTCCTGTTTCGTTCAGCTACAAGTCTGTACTGAATGATGGCTCTCCTAAGGACCAGTCCATTGCATTCASCTGCGAGCTYGATCCTCCGTACATAGGGATGGTGAGTKCCCGCAGGGATCCAGAGTCGGGACAGTCATCATGTGTGYTGCATCCCTACTCTCCGGCAGATCTGCAGTTGGATGTCAAGGGGCAGCCTCGATCGTGGCAKCAGTATGATYTTGSAGGTGCAGCCTCTGGATCTATTCCGTTGAYTGTGAYGGCTGTTGTGGAGGGCCCCAGTGGATCTCTWGTTAAGGATAGGGTGACCCTGAACTTTGTTGGAGGCTTTAYGTTKGCGAAGGAGGCACCGTCTCAGGTTACTTTGTTCCCGAGAACTAATCGCTCCATGGTGGTGCTTGTTGGAAACGTCGYGTCGGTCGATGTTTCATGGAGTAGGAAGGATGCATTGTCGGTGAGGGACATCAGTCGTCTGGATGAAGCGCCGGGATTGGCCGGAAAAGCGAGGTTCGAGGTCAAAGTCCTTCAACAAGGAGCTCCATTTGCCGACGTGCTCGTCTTCACYTCTCGTGAKACGGGGCARCAGTTGGAGCTTCCTGTCACCTTCAGGCCTGACGATACAAAATCGGAAAGAGAAATATCGATCGTCTCTAGCATTGTGACCACGGTTGCAGTTGSGGCAGTGGTGATGTTGCTTGTATGGGTGTGTGCATGGTCCATGGATCAACCTCAAGTAATTCCTCCCCCTCCACCAGGTTCGATGATCTCTCCTCCTGGACGGAGTGGTGCTGCGAGTCCAGCGACGCCTCCCAGTGGCACTAGCACTTTCGGACGTACTACTCCAGTGCAGCAGCCTTTCGACACGCAACTGCGCTCACCCTCTCCATCCCGACCCTCTGTGCAATCGCCCCCGTATACAGAGCATCTTAGCAGGACAATTCAACGAACACCGTATTTCGATAGGGATATGTCAAGGCGCTTCGACCCCACACGGACATACTAGGGTCTTGTAGAGGTGCTATGGTGGATGATGGTGATGCTGTATTCCCCCCCCCACCCCACCCCCCCCCCCGCCCCCCGCCCCCTCCTCACCAAGTTCAGTTTTGTAACTTTTGTTTCTTCACCTGTTGGAACACCAAAGCCTGTGATGTTGGCATCGCGATTCCTTGAATCTTTTCCTTTGTTTTTCAGTTAGTGCAGCAGCTGTTCCCTCCACCCTCCCGGTCTCTCAATCAGTCCGCTGTGCAGATCCTTTTTCATGAGAATGACGCCTGGTAAATGGTTTGTTCGTCAGGCAATGTGGCACCCTATTTGTTGTGCATATCTGGCACAAGAGGGCTCCAAACTGCACAAAACGAGCGGTAGTCTGTCTACTTGTGTGGAGTCATGTGAGTACGATGGATGGGCAATGGAAATGATGTCGAGGTGAGAAGGTAGTAGCAGGCTCGAGTTGAAGGAGGTTAAAGGATAGGGATGCTTTTTCTGCTTGTTAGTTTCTTGTTTCATTAGTTCGGGAACAGTGCATCAGAAGATTGTGACAGGCGAGTGGAATGCAGTAGGAGAAGCAGGAGAGCTAGTTTTGTCAGTGCATGATGTGGCATCCAGATTATATAAAGTGGGGCAGCTCGGGAGAGTGGAACGTGAGCGTTCTTAATAGTAGGGAGTTGTTAGGAGGAAGGTAGATTTATGGTAGCCATGGATCTTTGTTTTGGAGAGGAAGAGATCTGGATCCCATCGATTGTAGTTCTCCCGATCACGGCTTCATCGCTTTGTTAACTAACCTGAGTGCATCAGGGCAAGTCGTCATTCATACCCGTGTTCTGTTTTTTGTTCTTATGCTTTGAATTTTGAGCACTTCGAAGTTTCTGATTTAGTTTCAAGCAAATCACTTTGCCCCTTCCCCCTCCCCACTGTCCCCCTCCTGCTTTCAAGTAATCTGAGGATCGCTGATCGTGAACTTGGTGTGTGTGTGGGCGGGGGTGTGGGTGGGTGGGTGCGCGGGTGTGGGTTGGGAGAGGGGGTGGGTGGGGTTGGATGGGTGCGTGTGGGAGGGGGTGGGGTGCGCGCATATACAAGAGTGTGTCCGTGCGTGCGTGTGTGCGTGAGAGCCATAGACTATAGAGCATTGTGGATGTTGCACCCAGTGAGAATAGAACAAGAAGTGGAACCTATATAATATTAGAGCATTTTGGATATTGCTCCCGAAAGGTGAGTGAAACAAATAAGAATAGAGCAAGAGTGGAAGCTAGAATATATACAACATATGTGCATGCCCTGTTCTTCTTCATCTCTTCTCTTCTCTATACTACTAAAGGAAAAGCCGGGTCTCGCATGACGCTGGCACAAAGACCTGGTGTCTCGAGGTTTGGGACCTCGGGTGGCCGGGCGACAGGTAAGTCTCCAAGACCGTGTCTGGCCTCGCGCAACTTTCCATCGAAAGGATGAGCAAAATCGATCAAATCTTCCGCTACAATGTCCAAATATTCCTTACTACATGTGTGTGTGTGTGTGTGTGTGTGTGTGTGTGTGAGAGAGAGAGAGAGAGAGAGAGAGAGAGAGAGAGTACAGCAACAGGTAAGTCTCCAAGGCCGTGGCTGGCCTCGCGCAACTTTCCATCGAAAGGATGAGCAAAATCGATCGAATCTT